GGCACCATAGTTTTGGCAGAACATCGTCATTGTCGCCGCCCGCCTAGCTCAATCGGATAGAGCGTCAGACTCTTATAACTGGTTGTATTGGTTATCTGAAGGCTGCGAGTTCGACCCTCGCGGTGGGCTATAGGAAATAAGGCAAACTTTTTGCCACCTTCGCCGCTCTTCCGAATCGGGAAAACATAAATTTGCTACGCGGGCGTTGGTCACGTGCCTCCACAACATTGTCTTCGAAGTTTTGGGGGCCACAAATATTCGTACTGTGAATTTGACACAGAACTGCACATGTTACAGCGGTATTTGATCGTATAACGGATATGGAAGCCCATCGGAGACACATTCGATTTTGCCGTGCAACCCTTCGGGCGCTTGTTCAAACTTCAGGGGCCCGCCTATTCCAGGTCTTTCGAAACACACGGTGAAGTCTTTGGAAAAGACATTATCAAGGCTTATCTAGATCTAAAACAAGTATCGACATATGTTGCAAGATGCGGGAGCCCAAAGTCACCAATAGTCGCAGCTTTCAGCGCGTGCTTCCCTCTCCGAGTCCAAGGAGCCTGACGTACCTTCGGGCGAAGCCCGAGGTCTATCTGTAAGAGGGAGTCAGCATCAAGTGTGCAATATGCCGGTCCCGGAGGTTGAGCCCCTGAGGTCGTACTCACCAGTGGGAGCGCGGACGCCAGCGTTGGTGCTGTCCTCTCCGATACCGGCGGTGAACTACGGCTTGCTTGTGTCGGCGCGATGCCAGACGTACGGGATGCGTGCTCCAGGAAGAGACTCGGGGCGCCCACAGTGGTAGTCGTAGTGTAGCGACCCACAACTCGTCTAAACGAGGATGTGTTTATGCAGCCCGTATACAGAGTCTGTTCGTCCATAGTCGGTACGGAGTCGACCTTTCTTGGAGGGTGGAGGTATCCGGCAACTCAGCTCTTGCCTCCTGCGGGCATCAGAAATAAGCACCATATTGATTGGTGAGGTGGGCCGAGCTGTGCAATTTGTTGATGCCGATGAATGAGCGCACACATTTGATAATGAGGGGTGGTCGGATATGGATACAACGTCGCTGTCGTCTCCGGGAGTATGGCTGGAAGGAGGCTGAGCAATCGGCGTGCCGGTGTGCACCAATGCAAATTCACTTGGACTTCTTGGTAAGCTTCAGTGTTCATGCATTCCCGCAGAACACAATAAGCGATGGCCTGAGCGAGTGCGCATAATATAAGTAGCTGGACGAACAGAACAGGACGAACAACACACCCCTCTGCAATATCGTCACCCTCTCACATCTTTAACAACCATTGGAATGTCTTCACCGCGAGTTTGGTTCAGTAAGCCGCGTCAGGGTCAGTGTGGTGGACGCGAAACTCACAATAGCTTATGCAGTTACTGGCTGCTCGTCTGGCCTGGGCCTCGAGCTCTTCCGCCAGGTCCTTAGCAAAGGCGACATCGCCGTCGCCACGCTCCGCAAGCCCGAGGTCCTTGCCGACCTCCAGGCTCAATACCCCGCCGACCGCCTCCTCGTTCTCAAGGTGGATGTGTCCGTCCACAGCGACATCATCGCCGCTTTCGAGAAGACCAGGGAGGTCTTCGGCCGCCTCGACGTCGTCGTCAGCAACGCCGGCTATGCCTTGCTTGGCGAGGTCGAGAGTACGCCCGACGACGTCGCGCGTGCCCTGTTCGAGGTGAACTTCTGGGGGTCGGTGCACGTCATGCAGGAGGCGGTCAAGTTCTTCCGGGAGGTGAACGCGCCGGGGAAGGGCGGGCGCATCATCCAGATCTCATCCGTCATGGGTATCGTCGGCTTCCCTGCGTGTGGCTTCTACAACGCGACCAAGTTCGGTGAGCATCGCTAAGACGCGGCCGCGTGAATGTGCACTGACAATTTCGGCAGCCATAGAGGGAATAACGGAGGTCTTGGCTAAGGAGCTCGACCCCGAGTGGAACATCAAGGTCAGTCGGAGAGCGAGGTACAGAGTTTCCCTGTGACTGACCGAACAATTGCGGTAGGTGACCGACATCCCTCTGGGCGCGTTCTTGACCCAAGGCGTGCCAAACATGGTGAAAGTCGACCCGCTCCCCGCGTACACCAAGCCCGAGCTGGCCTCCGCCCAAGCACGCAAGTCTATGCTAGCGTCGTTGAAGGGCGAAAAGGACCCGAACTTCGAGATCAGAGGCGACCCCGTCAAAGCGGCGCGCGCGTTCTACCGTCTCAGCGAGATGGAGTCTCCGCCGTTCCGTCTGGTTCTAGGCAAGGATTCGTTGGCTGCGTCGCGGGCCAAGATGTCTAGCTTCTCGGAGGAGATGGAGGAGTATGCGGTCTGGTCTGAGGATATTGAGCTTGATTAGGCGGTAGTTAGGTCCTAGGAGCCTACTACTAGTAGTTCAACGTTGAACGAGTTACGCACCCGACCTCGCCTGGTAGAAATGATCATGATGAACGTGGAAATCATACACATATCAACCCTGCGCTTGAGCACGGTGTACTGCACGCAAGAAACCTCTTGAAGAAATCCACACTGACCAGTGACCATTTCAATATTTGTATGTGGCAGGCCACGGCCAGAAGGTGGGATTTTGAGACGCTCGTGCCTAGGCCGCTTTTAGCGCCCGCCGCAACTCTTCCCGAACACTCATGTCGCTCACTGGCCCTATCCTGGATTGCTGAATCCGCCAGCATCTACCTTCATGATGCTCTGAAGATCGTATGTTCAGATCCCGTGAACTGGTAGACTTCAGATGCGAATATCAGGGTGCATATAAGGACCTAGAACTCAATGCACGCAGTACAGAGGTGAGCTGTGTCTTCTCGGCTTGCTCGACGCGTCTGATGTGCTAACCTCCACCTCAGCATTCACATCCATAATTTCCAATATAGTCTTGTTCGCATATGACGCGTTTGCCGGCAGTTCATGCACATAGTCACAAGCGCAACTGCAACGCCGTTTGCCCTCGTGTATCCGCGCAAGATCAGGGATGTCCGATGGATTGTGGTGCGAGTTAACGGAGGTGCGCAACGGAAGTTTCAGCTTCGCCAAGAATATACCACCACGCAGCACCACGCCCAGAAGTCGAAGTGGCAACTTCAGTAGCGAGTTCATTCACGCGGGGCGCTTACATCGCAAGTGACCTCATCAACGTCCTCAACGACCTCATCGACGCTCGCGTCACCACCTTCGATCGCCTCGACGCAGATGATGTCAATCAGGCCCCCACCGCCATCGATCCCTTATAAGGCTCTCGCTATGCTGCCTGAACTCAACAAACGACTCCGACTCACTACTACTACGCCCTCAATTTCCCAACAACCTCTCCACATCATGTCCTTCGAAGCCGGAAAGACCTACCAGATCATCAACGCCAAGGGTGGCACAGTCCTTGATCTCTCCGGAGGACAGGACCACTCGCCCATCACCGGGTACCAGTGGAACGGCGGTGCGAACCAGAAGGTTGATATCTATCCTTTCATCGCGTCTGCAGCTGTCTGACCTGTCATACAGTGGACGCTCGAGCAGAGCAACGATGGTCTTCAGCTCAAGAACGCCGCGACGGGTCTGTACATCGGCGTCGACGGCGAACCGACGAACTCTGCGCCCGTCACTGCATCCTCGCAGGGACAGCACTGGGAGATCAAGCCCGACCACAGCGACCCTTCCGTCTTCAGGTTTGCCCGCTCCCCTCTGGCATATCGTGATAGAGCTAACTATGACCACAGAATCTTCCTGAAAGGTACGCAGTACTGCCTTGATCTCAGCGATCACGGCAACTCCAACCCTGGCACCCCTGTGACGCTCTGGAAGAAGTGGGAGGGTGGTGCTAACCAGACTTGGAAGTTCGAGGAGGGTAAGCAGCAGTCTCTCTGTTATGTAGACCGCATATACTCACGTTCACGCAGCTGCGTGAACGACTCTGAAAATCATACCCACACGCGCAATGGATCGTGTAACACAAGCCCTGTATCATACCAATGACAGTGTACTCGCTGTGAGATCTTCCACTCACATTCTGGATATTTGTGGAGTATAGCTACGTCGTCCCGACGCCCCCGGACATACGTCTCGATATCGGATCTATCTCGTATGCACGTCAAAACGTGTATCGTGCACCAGGATCTGCGTGTGGTTGTTTCGAGCCCAATCGGCCTTCTGCACGATGATCAGCAGGATACGGGGTGCGGATGCACAAAATTCCTGTCCAATCGGCCCGACACCGAATGAGGGGAGACATGTCGAGGGAGTGTGTGTGCGCGCTGATTGGTGAGCGATGATCTCGGTACTTCAACCGCATCCCGCGATGGTCACAAATGAATTGAATTACCATGTTCAGGTTGTACCTCAATACTTCACACTGCTTCGCGCTCGCCGCTTTGTCCTATACCATATAGCTCAAGACGAGTATCGTGGTGCGTGAATGCAGCAACTATAAACGGTTCGTTACTCAGCAGGTGAGTTTGGAATCAGCAAGTAGCTGCACGTCGGTACATACACGAGTCCCATCCAGGCATCTGAGAATGACACGGCGTCGACCAAGACGTCTAGACTGCGCCCCACAACACCCACCTGGTGACCGTAAAGGTAGCGTAAACACATGTACCCGCCAACATCAACTGTCGTGCTTGCCGCAGGAGTTGCCCAGCCAAACAGAGGCAGAGGCCCTTGACTCTGGTCTAACCTTGCATCTTTTGCGAATATATGAGACCCGCTGACCTACCACAGAAAGCTCAACACCTCAATTTCGCTGAGGCTACCTCATAGGTCAATGTAACCCGCCGGCGACTCTTCGGTATGTGGCAGTCATGCCCTCCCACTGTGTCACCCATCTGATCACGCAAATCACCAGCACGCCTTCTGAAGCTCAAAAAGTCAAAACGGAACGAAAGCCTAAATGTCGGACGCAGCAAAGACTCCCCCAGATCTCGCGTACTGGTACCGCGACGGCTCCCACCCGGGTCTGCCGAATACACTTCGCGTCTGCTGAGCTCGAGGAGCGATCATGGGCAAGACGCCGGTCCGATGTCGACGCAACGCGCGCGGTCATGCAGCAGTGTATAAGCATCAGCTGCTTAACTGTGTGAGGACGATCACCCACGACGGCCGCCGGACTGTGTGGTATATGCGATCGCAGCGCATCGT